GTCTATCATCTGGGACACCTCCTGGGTTGATTGAGCTTGCAGCTAGAATCTCTCTAGTCTCTATCTATTGCTCTTCCTGAGCTTGCAAGCATTTTGTAATGAACAGAGTAGATCAGAGATGATCTGAGTAGTGCATTGTCACTATGTGGAACAGCTATAAAACTGTTGATATATATATATATTAACTGTTCTTTGTAACATGTTGTAACTAGGTAGGCTTACCCTGTCCCTTAACTACAAAATGCATTTCAGCACACGAATGAAGAAGATTGATTGACAAGGAGCGGAAGACAGCCTCTGGGCTGAGACTATCTCAGGTGCGATTCGGTCAGCATGTTCCTTCCCTCCTGCAAGATATCCAAATATTACATATTATTCTAGGATTCACTTGTTCACTTTGGTTAAATTGCAACAAAATGGAAAAACACCAAGTAGTTCAACATAGTTCAACAAATTGCTAAGATAAAAGTCTCCTGTTTCTGGTTCAGCATTCTGTAGAGGGAGTGCCTTCTCAGACGCTGCATCCTTGGGGAGCTTCAAATGTTGCACATGTGTGACAACACTACAGAATGCATGGATGGAACCTAGTGGTTCTTCGTAAGTTCTCAAGCTTGCCCTCCCTTTTACTACAAAATACAGTTCAGCACATGAATGCATCACATTCACTGGCAAGGAGCAGGAGATGGCCTCTGGGCTGAGACTAGCTCAGATGCGATTTGGTCAGCACGCCCCTTCCCTCCTGCAAGATATTTAGTAATATTATAATATACTATTCTAGGATTTACTGATTCACTTTGGTTAACTTGCAACAAAATGCAAAAAAACAAAATAGTTCAACATCGTTCAACAAATTGCTAAGATAAAAGTCTCCTGTTTCTGGTTCAGCATTCTGTAGAGGGAGTGCTTTCGCAGACGCTGCATCCTTGGGTAGGAGCACTCACTCCAAGTAAAGAATAGTAAAGAAACATTGTACCTGGCACCTGCTTCAAATGTTAAACATGTGTGAACACACTACAGAATGCAAATGCAAATGTTAAATTTGTTTATCCTCTGGCCAAGCACCCCTTGTGGGATGTGTCAGCCTAGTTCAGCCGCACACACTGCACTCCAAAGGTGGTTTGGTTCACCAAAGAATGCCAAAGAAAGCCCTCGTATCGATATATCACTGTGCTGACTATCAACGATTGAGGGCACAGAAGATTCTGTAAAATTCAAAGAGAAGAATAGAAAATAAACTGCAGACAAGCTTGCGTGATACCCACGCCAAGCAAACACCTATGGAACCTAGTGTGGAGGGCGGCACTTAACATCGCAACTCATGGCTCAAGCACCTTGGCGCTCTTCAAGTAACATTTGGTTTAGATTCATTGTTCAGAAAGAAGATCTATCATCATGGTAGGCATCTCAGAATCAGAGGCGCTGCTACCAATTTCAATTGCAGTGCTGTTATCAAAGACTTGGTGTTCTACAAACACTGCCTCTGCAGCTACTGCCGTCTGCATGATCTCTTCAGCCCATGCTCGAAACAAAGCTCTGCAAAAATAGCTAGTGAAACTGGCACTCTCTGCCAGATGCTTTCCACCTTGCCATCGCTTGCGTCCGTCCTTTCCGATCGTGTTCTTGATATACTCCTCAGAAGTCACAATTTTGTAGTGATTGAGCAGTGCATTAAGCATTTTGTAGAACCGTGGTCTTTGGACTGTGTTACTTATCTTACATCTGTAGTAATTTTACTCATTTTGTAGCGTTTGATTAGAACATTGAGCATTGTGTGCACACAATGACTCAGAATCTTAGATTCGAACAAATTTCATAGACATAAATATATATACATATAACATCATATAACTATATATAATTCAAGTCCAAGGGTCCTTCTTCACTGTTCGTTTGCTCTGCCTCTTGTTGAAGCGTGCCTTTGTTTTCGTGATAGTGACGCTGCTGGAAATCTTGCAAGTCTATACAAGTTCAAAAGTCAAGAAACCAGAGTAGTCATGACTAGTCCTTTATCTCAACGCGATAGATATTGCAGGTCAGGATGCCTTGAAGCGAGCTTTGTCTGGCTTTGTCATGACTCTGCGAAGACTTTGCATGCTCCTGTTGGGAAGAAAACTAACTATATAAGAGAAAACTATAGAAAACTAATATACATAGACCGCTACACAATGCAAAAACTTTCAAATAGTGGTACAAAATGCATGTACATGAATGAGTCAATAAGCAGCAATCCAGCCTGCAATTTGTCTTGATCTTTGTGGGCTTGAGCATGTCATGCCCAAAGAAAGCCATCCATGTAGTAACACAAAACCTGAAGACATTTTTGTATGCATGTCTCAAGGAAAAGAGTTAACAACTACAAAATGCACAACAACCACACATTACGTAAATCTCCTGCAGCCTCGGAGCATCTGAAGCAATTCTGAAATCTTCTTCATGTAGGGTTGACGGTATGCCCAGCTGCTTGATGGCTGCTCTATTACCACATGCATCGGCCCACGAACATCCCAAACCAACTGCAAGAATTTCGCCTTGGAAAAGGGTTCAAGAGCATTTTGTAGCAAAGAAAGATAACACATATCATTTTGTAGTAAACCTTTTGTTGGATCATGCCTTTTGTATTCTTTTGTATTGATTTGTATCAAATATTTATTCCAAGCTGCGAAGCTCAACCAAATACGCCGGGCCAAGCGAACTTTCAGCAGTTTCATGTTGCCCTCCGGATTCTTGAAAGTGCGTCGATGAACACTCTGACAGGCACTCACAAAAAGAGAGCAAGGCGGAGCACAAACCAATGCTGCATCATGGGTCAACCTGGGAGCAGAGTTGTTCTTGGTTGAACATCGTCATCGTCCAAAGGAATCCACTACAAAAAACAAAACTTCCATAGATGTGTCATTTTGTAGCAAACACATGCAAACACTAAATTAGACATGTAGCGTCATTGCCATGCCAAGAAGGATCTTAAAACCACTTTGAGAGCATATATCATGGTCCCTGTTGACCTTGATGTCGTACACAATAGCATTGAACCCTTCGTTTCTCCAGCATCTACTGACAGCCTGGCTTGCGCCGAACAGGTCCAGCAAGTGGTTGTTCTGCTCGACAACTTGTTTCTTCATAAACTGACGCAGCTGGGCCATGTGCTTTTCCGGGGCGAACCACCTCGATTCACTTAGTAGTTGACTCATCCATTCTTCTATGGCTACAAAATGCTGATTCCCAACAACAATGAAAGTAAAGGTCTAGTACCAGAAAACCTGATACAAACTCAAAGAATGTTCCTATATTTTGTAGACTAACATCTGTAAAGATTTGGGATGAATATGGACAAGTAATGAAAAGTACGGACTCATCACAGTGCTGATGCAATGAATTCATGCCTCCAAACAAGCATTTAGTAGTAGACTACTATGGTGATGTTTATTTTGTAGTATATCACTCTGGAAATCAGCATTTTGTAGTGTGAAAAAATATCATCTGTACCATCCTGAATCATGAACCCACTCTATTCTAAAGCACACTGGCAAACAAGGCACAGGTGTTCATCTGTGACACTAGTTGTGTCATCCTGGATGCTTGGCAAGGTCTGTTTGCCCGCCAGCACACACAGAGGCAGCAGCCACGCCAACCAACGAAGGGGCGCCATGAAAGCTGGAGTTAGAATCAAAACTAAAGCGCGAAAACGGCCAAGGCTCGCAGATAGAAAATTCTGCTGATTCATTATTTGTAATTTCCAATTCCATCCAGTTCCCATCATTTTCAAAAACACATGTCTGCCAAAACCGTCCGGCTTTTAAGTGCTTCCGTGACTCTGACTCAGTCTTACGAACAGACTTTTGACTTGGCCTGTCACGACTGATCACGAGCGTCCAATTCCACGAAGCTGTTTCCCTGAGAAGTCAGAGACATGTGGAGCCATTCAAAAGGTGAAATAACCATTCTGTATCGATTCTGATATCTTTAAAGCGAATCAAAAAAGAAGTATAGCTGAAAACAAGGCTCGGATCCCAATAGCAATGGTGATGGCTTTTTCTTCCACTGGCCCCGATCAAGTTGCATCGCGTGACTTAGTTCGTCGTTCCGATAAAGTTTCGTCAGGCCCCACCATGGGTTTCCAAAAGCAGGCCTGTACATAAACCTGGTGTAAAGTCTTTAAAAAAAACATAGGTTCTCAATAGACTCTCCAAGTAACGCCAACACCCTCTTTCCCCACAAAAGGTCGCCGGCGGAACTTCCTCGAAGCAATTACCAACGCCACACCATTTTGGGCATCCAGGTGGTTCAGCATCGGCCATCTCGAAAACCAGCCCGATTTTGAGTCACCAAAATGGCTGCAGAAATTTGCACTACATTATGGACGTACCCAACATAAGTTATAGTCATCTTAAAATGATAAATCTACACTACAAAATTGTATGGACCCAACCTCTATATCTCAACATCAAGGCCTTGCGCTACAGAATACTCACCTCTACAAAAAGAGGTGCCTCAACCTCTTTTTTTTGCAAAATATTGAAACGCTCAACGTAGTGGCCTCAAGACACCCCATTTCATATAGGAAATCGGAACGGGGATGTATATTTGCCTACATTAGGACGTTTCTGTTTAAATAAGTTTTTAAGGTCCATTTTTAGGTGCCTATTCCAACTCCAGTCCCATGGATTGTTGGAGGTGTTTGTTTCAAGGAGTGCCTTGTTGCAAACAAGCAACTTCCAGAACACCGCTCCCTTGTCGATAGAGGCCCAGGCAAATTCCCTCATGAAACATCCGCTGCGGTGCGCCGGTCTCAGCCAGGGGCTATTTTAGACAACACTGCATCTGTTTTATTGATTATGATTGATTTATTGATCGTTTGATTGAGGGGTTCAGAATGATTCAGAGATTCATTGGTACAAACGTCCCATGTTCACCTGAGAATTGCTGAGTCCGGTGTAGTTTCATCGTCCACTTCTCTGGTGCTTTCCCTCACTCAACCCACCAGCCCCCCCCAACTCGCCCACCTGGGCTGGAAGCAGCGGCGAGGTCGACCTCTTGGAGCGGATGTGAAGACCCTCTATGGTGTCGGTGGAGGGGGTCAACCAAAACAGGATCACTTGGAGCACCCCAACTACCTGGAAGGGTCAAACCTATATGATGGACCAGGTCTCCGTTGTCCATGCTTTTCTTGACCCATCCCTGTCGACTATCCAACCTGTCCGGTTCGGCATACGGCTGCTTTATCATACGTGGCACGAACAGTCCAGATTGACACAGAAATCTGATGAAATCTTGGTAGCATCGAAAACGACCCGACCCCTTTATATGAACTTTCAGAGGTATCGAACGGGAGGAGATCCTGAACAGCCTCACCTCCTGGCTCTCCATGGATAAGTCTCACCTCAAAAGCCTCTTACATGTTAATGTTAAAACATGCACTGTGAATCTCTGAAGGCAGATCATCCGACATGCACAAACATGTGCTCACCTGTTAAGACTTGAGGCTTAAATTGCTCCCAGCACTACCAAAACAAGTGTCAAGCTCGAGGCCCGTCATATTCGTTCTCAGATCTATATAAGATGACGCAAGGCCAGGCATGGATTAGTGGCTAAGCCGTGGATTTGTGGCAAGGCCATACATCTGCACTTGCACTAACTGCGGACTGATGTCCAATTCAGGCAGAAGGTGCAGAGACAATGCCGAACATCAAAACAGAACAATAATGAATTAGTTGAAACATCAGAGCCGGAACAAATATCTGCCTGAATGAGCTTGGGCCAGGCATTTCAGTCCTTTCTTTTCACACCAAAGGAGCCTGAGTTGGCCTGAGGGATCTTCGAAGTCGAGGCCTTCCACACCGAAAGACGGTGTCCAAGACGGGTCCAAGCTGCTTGAGCTCGCAGTAGAGGTAGGAAAGCTTTCCCAGGCTGCGAACCTGCAGTGAAACGACCCTGTCAAGCAGTCAAGCATCCAACTATAGGTATGGGTGGGAGTTCACATGATTCAACGGATGAACACCGCTGTCAAATACCACTGCTCTTAAGTGGTCACGAGCTCGCCAGGTTACAATATCGCCCGTGTGTTTGGAGGGTTCCATTGTTTCAATTTCTATGCAAATATATGCAAATGTCACTAGTCCATAATTGTCCATATATAATATCAATCAGTGGATCAGTTTGGGCCTGATGCATGGGATGAATGCTCAGTTCTGTGTTGGAATCTGTTGGATGAGGATGATGCTTCACATCTGGTGTCACTGGCCCCAGCCCTTAGGGAGAGGGTGTCGGACGTTTGGACCGTTTGGGGGGAGGCGTTTTCTCTGCTCCTGCCTCGACGTGTTGAAACTCCTTCGGCCGCAGCAAGAGCACCTGTCCGTGCGGTCCGGTGTGCTGTCCGGCGCTGGGATGGGCAGCTCGACGTGCGGCTCCGGAGGGGTCAATAAGAAATGACAACCTCTTCCCCAGGTTCGGAGCACCCAGTTCCTATACCCTCTGACGAACACAGAAAACATGGTGGAAGTGGATCGCATGGTGCCGAGTTCGGAAGACAAGGATTCCTCTACCGGGTTGCCTCGCAGGCCGTTGCTCACTCGCTCCTCTTGTGTTAGGTGTCTTTTTTGGTGAAGGTGTTGGAATGATGGTCCAATGCATGTATCGCATGTGCAGCCGGAACATGGAAGCATTGCCAAAAGCCTCGAATCTGCAAGTTGTGCTCTATAGGTTCAACTATATAGACATTCAGAAGGCACATGCCTAAGACCTTCCAACAAGTCACAAAGGTACTCTACGACGAACTCACCACCTGGAAGCGCAGTAGAAGCCAAACCCAAAACAGTCTTTTCATGTTTTTCCCCTTCCATGTCCATGTTGAGTTGGAATGAATGCGGCTCCCTCGGGAGACTTCACATCTGCATACCTTCTCCAACATGTGCGTTCTGCCCCACGCCGGACGACGTCCCCTCCGGCGGGTCCTGGCACCTCCAGCGCCGCCACACCGACACCAAAGACGTAGATTCCAAACTGGCAGCGACGCGTGTGGTTGTGCAAACATTGACACGAACGTCACAGGTGGTAGGTGAGTCAAAGGAGTGGCAGGGGTGTCTTGAGGCTCCTAGCATATCAGCGTTTGGTATTTTGTCTTATGCATTTTGAGCATCTGCAAAGGATTACAGTACGTAGTGTGTCCTGCTCTCCCAGTTCCCTCTCCTTCGCAGGTCACACGCCTAGGACATGTCACAAGCAAAAGCACGTTGTGAGAGGTCAGTGCTCCCCTGAAGCTGGAGCTGTTGTACAATGATGAATTTGAGGGAGAACTCTACCTCCCATTTACCCATTGGCCAAAAGACAGGCTGGGCTTGGTGGCTGGTTGAAACATGTTGAAACATTGGAATCTTCAATGCATTCTGCCACATCCCAAATCCACCCAAACCCCCTTTTCCCATCAGTGCCATCGAAGAAATCCACTTGAAACACACATCTCTCTCTCTACTACCCTTTCCTACCTTGGTCAACTTCTCAACCTAGATTCAATTCCCCCATTCTCCCACTCCCAACACCCAACATCCAACGATGGGTCCCCACTTGGGACCAGTTCACCAGCATGCTCCCTTCCAGTTCTCTTCGGAGATATCGCTTACTCAGTCGATGCTTCATCGATCCCCGAGACATCGCGGGGCGCGCGCGGGCGCGCGAAGCAACTCCCTATGTCCGTCCTGCCTTGACGACGTGAAAGGCGGACTGGAAGAGATATCCAGGTCCATGGAAACCCCATGGAAACCCCATGACCCTACTATATGGCGAGCACCAAAGTCCCAGCTCGGCCCACATCGCTTCGCTTCGCATCGCTGCTTCTCGCTTCGTTCTCGCTTTCGCTTCGCGCCTGTTCCGGCGTCTCGGCGTCGACGGCACGTCGACGGCACGTCGGAACTGTTCGCCTGTTCCAAGAGGTGAATCGCCACGTGGAGATATGGAAAGCCCCAGAGACCAGACCAAAAGCCCCACCTGAGCGTCGGTCGAGCCGAACGTCCCGGAGCCCGGAGCCCGGAGCCCAGAGTGAGCCCAAAGCCACCCGCGCCGGGTGGGGGTAGTGGGGTGTGCCGAACTCGGTGGTGGCAGCGGGGTGTTTGGGGTCGCCCCTCAGTTTCCTTGCAAAAAAATAGCCAAATATAAGTAGGTTGTGCACGGAATAGGTATACCTTCTGATTTCTCGAGTTGGAGGACTTGGATGGACTTCCACTCGGATGAGGACATCGTACTTTCACATGTCAAGACACCTGGATCTGTGAGTCAGGTGTTTTGTGGTGTCTAATTAGCCGAGTCGACCAAGGTCAGCCAACCTCTGTGGCTTCTCATCTTTAAGGAAACCAGAAAGGGTCCCATCTCAAGAATTCATAATAAATAATTCCATGTTGTGCTTCTTGACGGGGCCTATAAGGTTCATGGACCTAGCAACCGCCCCAATATGGAGCTCTCGCCTGCCGCAAAACAATGTCAAGTCACACTGCCATTCAATTAAATGAGGACCAGCTCCGGCTTAAGAAACCCTTCTGATGAGACCGGACACCGCCACTTGGGCACTGAAGCAAATAGAAACCTTTGGGGAGGTTTTAGCATCCTCTGCTTTGGGGTCTCGACTCTCACTTTCACATCCTATTTTGACAATTTTTAGATCAGCCGGATCAGCTGACTGACTCAGTGCCAGTCAGTGTCCCACTGTCAACCTACAATTGAGTTGTGTCTGTTGTTTGCTTCTGGCAAACATGGAGGCGCACTCTTATCTGAATTCCATCATTTCAATCAAACATGTACCTGGTTCTTCAGTTCGTGACCGTACTTGATCACCTGATAGGTTCGGTCACTTCTTCGCCTCCAAAAAGAGGGTCACTGGATGGAACCTTCAAAAGGTCACGAACTGAAGAAGCTGGTATATATACCTAGATCTTCCAACTGTGCAGAATTTCTGCCTTTTCATGCATCAAACCCAACCAAAAGGCAGAAATTCTGCACAGTTTGGAAGATCTAGGTATATATATATGCCTACATTGACCCCCAAAACCACCCCAATGTAGGCATATATGGCATACATGGAGTGTCTGGGATAGCTCAATTGGCCTGGACAATCACCAGGACCGAAACACCAGAGCTGACACAGGCGAGATCCTTCGCCGATGGCGATGGCGAATGTGTCAAGAGGTTCACGACTGCCGGCTCCAAACACCAAGGGCCCTGACACCCTCAGTGTCCTTGGAATATATAGAGGTTAGCTGTTTGTCATATGTACCAGCACCCGACTTCACAGGTGACCACCTGCGACTTTTACACTTTTACGTCTCCAAAAGCCACCAAAGGAGACCTGTTGGAGGGTCTGGATTTGATCTGGGGAAGCCAATCGCCCGAACAGGTTGAAAGTTGTGCACCAATTGGGTAGGTATAGTGCACCGACTGGGTAGGCTATGCACCGGCTGGGTAGGTTGTTCCACCTGGATTTGGTGGGGAACCCTCCCTCACCCAACCACCGGGTCTCAACTCGACGAAGCAATTCGATCTACAAGTCGGTGGGCTCATGGAAGGGTTCCCAGGTGCCCGTTCTCTATACTGGCTGGAGATGGGTTGAACCAAAAAAACAACAGGCCCTAGGGCCCAAACCATATCCACAGGTTCAGTGGTTGGACCCCCCCTGGCACCCACCCCTGGCCCCTCTTCGAAACGGAGCTAGTTGGAGCCCTACAGGGGAAACAACAACCCCAGCGGCCTTGGGGGACCCTTCTTTCACCGCCACTGGATTCGCCCTGGCAAGGACATCTGCTCACTGGCAGGTCTCAAAAAGCCGATGAACATGAGGAACCAAAAGCATCCCGAAGCGACCTATGCTGAAGCTGATGTGCTACCGTTTGATTCTAGTTCATTTGCCTCATAATACAGCTATAATATATTATATGTCCCTTTTTCCCTCTGTCCATCGCCTAGTTCCATCGCCCAAGTGGCTCGAAGCCGATGAGACATTCGACCAAGGACAGGACCTTGGTATCGGGGGCCAACAACAAATTGGCAAAACAAAAAAGAACAGTGGATCCAACATCTCACGTGCGCGTTCTTAACCGAGGGGCCATTGGATTTGATGTTCAGCTGGCTTCAATCTGGAGACTTTTGCAGGTGTATCTGGATCTCAAGTACTGGGAAGAACTCTAAAGTGAGACCTAATACTAAGGACCCATCTACTTGGATTTGCGGCTCCCTGGACGTCGGGAATCAAACACAAACATATTCCCCCAAGCGTTCCCCAGGTCAGGGGATTCGGCAGCAACTCCGATGCGAGGTCGTCCAGGATGCCGTCTTAAACCTCTGACCTCTGTGGCGATCACGCAGACCTACGCACCAACAAACGCCCAAGGCACCATCGCGGAGCTCAAGAGCATCCCAGACCCACTGACCTGGGTTTGACGCGACGCGCGCAACTGCGCAACGGATGCACGTGGAGGACGTGGTCGATGGGGGGCGTCGGAACGTGGAGATATATGCATCGAAGAGATCTGCAGGTAACCTGCAAATAACTGGAAGTAACCAGTTTCAAACATAAATGTAATGAGTCTATAAGTGCACTCCAACACCAAAATGGAAGGCTGGCGTGCCCCTCTGAACATGATGCACTATCAAAAAGAACCATCAACTGTTGTTAAATTAAATTGGTGGGTGTTCATGGTGTTCCACTTCCATATTGGTGAGTTGGAAGGTACATGTGCACCATAACCAACCATCTTCGGCGTGAACCTCCGTATATACACCTAACCTACACCCAGTGAGGATATCATAGGATATACAGGATCTGCGCTCAGCTGCGCTCTGAGCGCCATCGACACTTCGCTCCGGTTGAGCCGGCGGTTGAGCCGATGGAGAGTCGGAGCTTCTCGGCCTTTTGGCGTTGATGATGATATCAGTTGATGATCGTTGGTGTTGTAGTTGTATCAGTTGATGATACTACACTTGAGTCGGCCTTTTGACATATCAGTTGTCCAATATGAGGTTGATCAAATGTAGTATCTGACAACTGATATGCCGAGGGAAGCGCCGTGCCGCTGTGCTTTTCACGTTGGTCCGTCCGGCCTTCCGACAGCGATCCAGCGACTCTGCAGTCGATGGATCGATTCTCATCATGTGGAGAAGACCTATCACCGTCCATATGCAGGGTGCTTCACGGTGAACCCCAACGTTTGTTCTCTATAAAACAACTCGAGAACAACATCAACAATCCACAGCTGCTCTTGATCGCTGTTGGGTTGTTCGGCCACCAAACAAATGTGCCCCACACAAGCTCCCTGGTTTAGTTGAAGCCTTTGGGGGCATTGAACCAAGGGCTTCCAAGGACTCTGCGTCAGATGCCGGTTCAACCAATCAGGATTCTGCAAAATCTGGTTCTCCAGCGCAGTCTGTACAATCAAAGGATAGACTCGAGCTGTTATATACCCTAGGGCTCCAACCATATATCCTCAGAAGGTGGTTGGACCCCCCAACCATCTTCTCAGGAGCTAGATTCCTCCCCATTGATGCCATATCCGATCCACATGGGTTCTGCCGCAGTATATGCAGCATGCAGTACTTACTGATCCGAGCGATCTTCTTGCCCTGGGCCTTCCGTGGATCTTCTCCTCCCGAGCGACGAGGCGATAGGTCGTCTTCTCCTCCGATGTCGTGGACCTCAAGGCCTCGTGAGGCGCGTGTGCATGGGTGCGCGTGTGCACAGGTGCGCGAGGGGAGGTCGGATGAGGCAGGTGGATCGGATGAGGTCGGATGGTTTCTCAAACCATGGAATCCCAAAGAGAGAACTTTGGAAGAAGCTCGGACCACTTCTTGGAACTGGAGCTTGAAATATAAGAGTGTCAGGGTCTAATCTTTTGGAACGGTTTGATATACCAAACACACCATGTATATTCTGGCAGTATTTACCTATTTGTAACAGATCCAAGTACCTTCTCAGAAGCTACTTGGACCCCTAGGTACTTGGACCCCGAGGGTATGTATAGAGACCCTTGAAACAAATATGTCCTGAAGCTCTTCTCTCTCCTCAGCCTCCTGTGCTGCTGAGTCCATTCAGATCCAAGTAGCCATCCACATGGCCAAGCCCGTTGCCAGGAAGACCTTACAGAGCAGGTCTTGGAGCTCTTGAAGCCGTGAGGTGTCAGAGATCCCTGGGGGAATAGATCTGACTTGTCAGAGATCCCTGGAAACCGAAGGGTTAAAAGATGTTGAACATTTGGTGAAAACCATTCTGAGTAGGGGTAGGATAACCATTTGGTGAAAACCATGTGGTGATGATCCACTTGTCCTGGGTAGGATTTGGACAACCATCCTCCCACATCATCCTTGCAAGCCATTCTCGTTCGAGGGTCCGAACCTCGGTCCGACCCCGAACGTCGTCCTTTCTATTTGAGAGGCCATCAGTCTGGCGAAATCCACTGGTAGGATCTGGTAGGTGGGTAACGCAAGCTTCCAACAAGCCAACCAGGGTGTAAGAAGGTACACATCATGGATCATCATGGTGGAAAAAAGGGAGTCTGGAGGCCAACGAATGAACCAAATCTCTGGCGACCGGGAAATTCGTTGGGCATTTTTGTCGGGGCTTCGACCCAGACCATAGATGTTGTCCAATGGAAACAGTAGATTACCTCCCCGTTTCAGATTCTGCCCCGCTGCAAATAACAAAAAACACAACAGTTCTGGCCAAGTGACCAAACAGGCGCACTTACTTACCCCGCCTCCAATATAAGTTTCATCGCGTGTCTATATTTTTTGAGTATCGATTGCTAGCCTTCAAAGACCCCTTTACAAAAAGAAGAAAACAACGTCATATAACACTTTGGGCAAAGGTTATTAAATTAATGTGGCTCAAATACTATAGGGTATAATGTCTGGTGTTTGGGCAAACAAAAACACTGTAGAGGCTCCCCAAGGACACTGACATGTGCACTTCATGCTGTTCAGCGCCAAAACGATCGCAAACTCGGTAAAACTCATGGTATGTCCTTCAGGAACTGAATGGAATACACCATATATCCCAGCTGTGACTCGGTGACTGTTCGCAGCTTGCCATGTTGCCACCTGCTTCCACGGGGCGATTTCTGCTGAGCTCTTGGCCCCTGGAGCTTGCACCACAAAGAGCGTCCACACCTGGCGGTCATCGGCGTCCACCGGTGTCCCAAACACTGCATGGGACTGGAAGAGATATAAAACGGGGTAAATGCACGGATGAGCTCCAAACAAGGTCCCTAAGAAACAGCCCGGGGCCAACACAAGTCCATTCCAAATCCAAGCAAATGGCACCAATGGCTGCAGGCGATTGCCAACGCAGCGCCACTAATAGTGATCCATAGTGACTTCATCCGGCGTCGCAGCTGCCTCGATCGCGTTGTGATCTGGGCCAGCAGCTCTAGGCTCGGTGGAGCAAGTCGTGTGGGAATCGCTGAAATTTTGGATACCCCATCCAACCACGGCAGTGAGAACAACTGAGGCAGTCAATGGTTTTCAAGGCATGGATCTTGGAATTTTAAGCTGTTTGTCTGTATGTACATGTTACAAAGAATGGCACAAAGCAATTTTTAAGCACATTTTGGCCAAGGACTGCACGTTTAGATGCTCAGCATATCAAGCAAGCACTCGCATCCAAAAAAGACATGCTTCTCACATTTCCACCATGGGACGTTCCAGGGGACGTTCTGGTTGGTTTTGAGGCACACACACACAGAGCAGAAATGTACTGTTCCAAATTATACGGAACGGTACCCGCTTCCGCAGAGTGGCCGGATCAGTGTCAATCTCGATCAACCGCAGTGCTGTGCTGTGATTCACCGATGCGGAGGGATTTCCCGTCCTGGCCTTCAACGGTTTGATCTGTGAGCGGCCGGAGGGCGGCATCTCCAAGCACAGTCGCCGTGACCTCCAGGATCCAGGGGGTCTAAAGCCCAGTCGCCATGGCAGAATCGGGTCTGTAGCCGCGAGACGCTGTCCTTGTTTCCTGGATGGAGAAGTTCTCAGAGAAGTTGCAGTGGAGACGTCAGTGCTCCGTTCGATTGACTCACCTTCTCCTATTTCCATTGGATCAGATTGCTCACGTCAGTAGGACTTTCAGTGACCTGTTCAGAATCAACCTGAGTTGCTGCAACCTCCTCAGGTTTTGCATTCTGATCAAGATCAATGACCTCTCTGGACATCTTAGACATCCAATCCAAGCAGCTTTTGTCCGCGCAGGCTTGTCTCTCATGTCTTTGGGAGGACGTCGCCAGCGTTTAATTGTAAACTCAAATGCTTTGTCTTTTTTTCCATCGACCTCATAAACATGCACAGTCTCTTTATCAGTTTTTTGATGGGAGGCTCCAACCGGCCACCCTTGCCTTTTAGACCTGGGAGCTGACACATATCCATTATCTATTGGACATCAAAAAACCTTTGACATCCGGTGGAGCGGCATGGTGGGGAATACCGGTGATGACCAGTGACCAACGCGCCCTCGACCTATGCAACCTGTTTCCCCCCTAAGACCGTAGCGAGAGACGAGTGACATCGCACGCTTCGTAGATCGGATGGATGAGTCTCAGAGGCCATAAGGTCTTGCAAGGAAGGGCAAGCCGAGATTCACGTCGCCCCACTAGCATACAGCTGCACACAGCTAGTAATGCCCATATGGATCCCATTGCCACCTTTTCAGAAGGTAATTGGACCCTCCTGGCGCCTGCATAAATAAATAGTTACCGTACCTGAGAAGGTACAAGTATGTGGATCCATAGGGATAGACATTGGCATGCTTTCAAGACCTGTAAAGCGCGTCCCTGCCACCTCCACATGATTCCTTCTACCTCCTTCTAGGCCCACCACATAGGAATGGCCGCTTGCAAGGCCTGTAAGTGTCTCTCCACGTGTCACGTGAGCCCTTTCAAGATACAAATCTCTGCTCCGCTATCATCATTCGTGTGTTGAACAACCAGTTTCACTGCGAGTGCGCTTAAATATGCTGAGCCGCCCGTCGCCCAAACATTCTTCCGGATGTATATGATGAAACAGGGACCAATAGCGATGATACCTTCTGGGAAGGGGCGACGCCCGTAGCCCCTCCACACATCCGGCATCATGGGCATCACCGGTCTGTTTGTCTATTTCGCTTCGGTGCCACGCCCTGACCCAGCGCAGCGCCCAAGTCTCGCCGAGGTCCGGGCCCCCTCCTGGCACCGGAGGCGGAAGTCGCGGGCGCGTCTGAGGCGCCCAACACCTCCGTTCTTGATCATGTACGGCAGGCATGCGACCGTAGTGACCTGAGCGAAGTCAGTTGGTTGAATTGAATCGGAGTCAGTTGGTGAATGATAGGAGCATGCATGCCAAAAACCCAGCATCAGCAAGACCACACCAATCAGAGACCGTATACCCTCTCGAAATCCACCAATTCATCACCATGGAGGTGACAGTTGTGTTTTTTTTTACCCCAACATCCATCAAACATCTCGAGATGAACTGAACCCTTTCGGTCCTTTTGAGGCTGGTCTAAACCCCAAAATTGGGGGCATCTCCGACCCGGTGACCGGTGGTCCGAAGATCGCCCACCCACCCAGCCCTGGCAGATCGAAGCGAGCTTCGGGGGACGGCCGGTCGGTTCGGTTCGGAAACACCGGAGGCCTGTTCTCTGCCGCTGAGAGGTGCCAGGGAACCCCAGAACGGATCGAAGCCCAACGAAGAATGGATCCTTCTAGACTCGAGCTCTTCTTCGAGCGTCACAGGCATGCTCCATCCCCCCCGTGGAGACTGTTCCACCCGGACCGTTCCACTCGGATTAGAAGTGGTCCCGTTCCCCAACAATCTCAAGAAATGGTATCTAAACATCTCAGACACCTGGCCTTAACCATGTCTATCTCTTTCTATACCGTAAGAACCCCTAGTGTATACCACACTGTTTGGGCAAAAACAGCACTTTGCAAGGTGATACACCATTTTGTCCTGACTAGAAAAGAAACTGGCACCTTCGATTTATAAGCAAAGTGGTTAAGCATGCTTAAGCACCGTTTTCATTTGTTTCCACCAGTTCGGCTTTCATGGGGAATCCCATATTCCCCCAAAAATCCTGGGTTATTCAACCAGGAACCGGGACAAGGTCGACCATGACCCAAGCAAAACCACCTGTCGCTTAAACGGACCAGTTGGAGGTTCAGAGCCCCGGCCAAGAGGGTTTCGGCGACCAGCACCACAAGCCCACCTGCAACGCAGGGGGGGGGCGGTGCCAGCGCAGCATAAGGCGGGGGGTGGGGCTTCTTGGGGGGGTGCGGCTGAGAAGAAACCACACATGCTGTTCGACCATAGACTCCAAAGCTGCGAAGAATCAAGCAAACCTCAAACATGGAAGTTCGACTTTGTAAAGATGTTTGGAACAAATGTCCAAGGTCTTTCGTACAAATGTCCAAGATATTTGAAGGGTCTAAGCAGCTTCAATGAGCACAAGAGTGCCCCAAAGGACACTGAATCCTGCCAGCAACCACACACCACAACAACACTTAACAGGAGTAGACCTGCAAAACGCCCACCTTTCGAAACCAACTTCCCAGAACACGACCTCTCATCAGGTACAAAACCGGCCAAAAGGTGCCGATCCAACACCACCGGACGACCGAAATCACCCGTCAACTGATCGGCTTTTGACGCTAGCGCTATATACTCCCCCTGAAAACAATTCATTGGAGACGGCGCGCGGGATCCGGTGACGTAGCATGACGGTGACGGTATAGGTTCTCCCTTCTGAAGAGTGCGTGGAGGATGGCATGGTCTAGTAAGGGGTTGGGGAACTCCTTGTAGCTCCTCGGCTCCCTGTTAAATGGGGAATATGGATGCCCCTGGCTCCTTAGCTCCCTCCTGAGCAAAAGCTAGTGGTGACCTTCTTCGGATGCCGTGGATGCTGGATGTCACGTCCGTCCGCTGGTGCGGACTCGACGGACATCGGACGCCCCAGTCGCGGCGGTGGCGACCGGAGGTTGGAAGAAAGAGATTGGCGAAAAGAACCACCTGCCAGAAACTCCATGTCAGGGTCATGTATAGTTCCCTGGGGTACATGTACAACCAATCCAGTCCCATGGAAGGTCTGGGATGGAACTGGTTGGTGGTTTCAACATGTTTCAACTCACTTGAACAAATATGAGTCCGTGCGACTGGAAGTTTGACCTAGCAGGACTGTCAAAGTGACCGAACTCGAGGATTGAGAACCACTTCGACCTGTATCCTGTATCTTCAAGAAGAATTGGTCCAATAGGAGCAAGAAGCTACTAGCTAGTAACCAAGGGCATCGCTACTAGGAGCAAGAAGCTACTATGATCCAATGACATCAGGAAAAGGTCGCTGCGGATTCCAGGGCCTTCACCCTCGTCTTGGAGATACGGTAGTTTCCCATGTTCGAAAACCCTCTACCAGACCCTAAACAACTTGGGTGCATCCCAGTAAGTCTAAGAGTGGATGATGATGCTTAGTCTAATTAAGGCCTTTCTCTAAAGACATGATGATGACTGCTTGCCAACTGGGACAAACCCTGTACAGATATATTATATTTATACCTCATCAAAATATTTCCATGGTCAAATGTGCTCCACTGGTTGCTCCGACGACCCCAGGCTCTGGGCCCCGACTCAAACTCCGACCGAAGGTCCGCAGAGAACCGGCCACCCACGGAGGAGCTCAGGCTTCCCCACGGAGGAGCAAGCTTTGCAAGGCCTTGTGCACCACGTGGCTAAACATCACGAAGGTCAACAAGGCCTCGAGGTGATGAACGAGGTGTTAGGTGTTCCAAAGCACGAGATGAGATCGCACGTGAGGGCTCCAGTGAAACCCTAGGGCTCCAGTCCTACCTTCTGAGAAAGAGTGACGTCGGGGTGGTTTTTGAGGAGGCACGACTGGAGCCCGAAGAAGGGTGTAGTTGTTAGGGCTGACTGGGGCTCTGCCCTTAGGGTGATATGGGAGGCTGAGGAGCTGAGGATGTTGGATAGTTGGAGGCTTCGGGCAAGCCACGAAATGCTTTTTGCAATTTCCGCCACCAAAAGAGTTGCAGTGGCAGATGATGATGGGTAACTACCCCAACACGATCCGGAATATAGGATATATGCAACTAATCCGTCAACTGTTTCACTGGTGCAAGATGGTGCGACCTTCCTCATAGTTCTCCATCCGTTCAAAAGGTACTCCATAGGATTCTTATCCTGCTTTGAGTCTTTTTTGACCGAACCTGAAGGTGAACAAAGGACCAAAAAGGGAAAAAAGAACATGCGAGCCATTCCTTTACTTTTGGTCGTCGTCTGCTCTACAGTGCCGAAACATAGATAGGCTACAGGCTCTTCAGTCGGACCGAGCTGGCTCCCTCCACTCTCCGGGATCACGGCATTGCTCATCACAGCGGTCACCTGAGGGCGCCCGGTTGCCCGTGAAAGGAGGGTGGAGGCGATGAAGGAGTGGTTGAACCATCCCACGCCAGCGTGGGTCCTGGGGGTTCTACCAGGGTCCTGGTGTCTTTGATTTGAAGTCTCACGGACTATTTTGCATGCATGATAGGGGGGTACTGCAGATACCAGGACTCCCAACAATGGTTAGTGGACATCCCTTATAATCCTTATGTAACCTCATTCTTGGGCTACTAGTCTAGACACCGCCCCAAACGGGGGGTCCTGGTATACGCGCATCCTTGAGAGTTTTAGGTGTCTCCTGATTTCCATCCAGTCCTGTCGAGTTTGAAGGTTGAGAACAGTGGCCTCTACTACAAAAGGTGATGGCGATGCTTCAACACGATTTGTTTGGGGGGGGGATCACCTCGACTTCTGCACACCAAAAACTTAATCAGCATGGTAGTCTGCGGAGGAGGATATTTTGTTCTACTCTGAGAATCAAGGACCCTCAAAGGTACAGGTTTGGTTCGGGTCCAGGCCCCTGCTGTGCAAGTTCAAAACCTTCCAGAAGTGGTCGGGCCCAATGATGGTTAGGATAGCTGAAATGACACCAATCCACTGTCAAGGCCACCGAATGAACCAAAAACACAACATGGCTCCAATTCACTTTCCTTCCCTGCAACAATCATGGTTACGTGGATGGCATGGCCCCTGGGAAGACTATTTTCCTCTACACACTGGGGGTTGTCCACTTCCATGGATTCTTGCAGGGAGGGTGAAGACTTTTGCTTTTCAGGGCTCTGGATGCCTCAGTGGAACAAAGAATACGGACATTCGCTCGAATGAGCCCGGAGATCTTATGAACTGCACTAGACTCTTTTCCGAAGCTCAGCGCAGCGCAGCTTAGTCACCACTCGCCACTCTCACCGACTCAACCCCCAACACTCGCGCTGGTCTTTTCCACTTGGTCAGCTCTTCACTCCGTCAGCTCCACAAGTTCGTTGTCTTCACACTCACCACTCGGGCTCGATGATCTGGCGGCTGCCCTCAAAGACTCTACACCCTCCAAGTACATCTTAAAATGGATACAAATAGCTGCTGTTGTTTTCTAAATAGGGTCATGTCCTATTTTCCAGGGTACTTTGGGGGTGTCCAGGTACTTTGACAGTGGTGTCTGACCTATACTGCCAGTGGCGAACACGGACTCACAAATCTCGAAGTTGGGCTTCCACTTGGCGGCTGTCACCTGCTTAAGCGAAACCACGGAAAGGCGAACCCGGGCCTGGGGCAACTTGCGGTTTCCTAGCGAAGTTCCAGGACTGGGGTCGAAACCAAACAATCTATCTGGATTCTTGCAAGTGGTTGATGTAAACATGATTGAAACCCATCTGGTACGTCCATGTGAACTTACCATTTGTCAATATCTTTGGGGTCTGCAGCCCGTGTTGCAGCCACAGAATCTTTGGGATTGGAGGAGGAGGAAGGGGCTCCATCCTCCCAAGGTGCCAGAGGCTTCTTCCCCTTCAAAAGCCACGTCTGCTCTAGGAGATCCACCCAACAAAGGCATTACTCATTACACCCAGTAAAAATCATCATGGTATTCGGAAAATCGTCATCCTTTTACGGCCATGCCGTCCACCATGATTGGTCCAGGGAGTTTGTAAAACTGCCATGTAGCCAAGTTTTTGGATACTCCCATGAGCTGGCACACTCAGATATAGTTTGACTCCCATGTAGTTTGACACTCCCATGTAGTTCCCACGCAGATCCCAAACTAAACTGTGCTCCCTGGTTTTCATGCTATGAGGATTAGCCATGTCAGCTGATGACATGTCATGACATGGCTATGGGTCAAAACCTGGGGGACCTTGGTTGATCATAGAAAATGAATAGAATAGACTACCAGGGACGTCAACCTACAAGGGTTGATGGTTCCGGGTGCCCTGACCCCTACTTTCCACCGCAAAATCCCTATCTCAACCCCCAGAACATGGCTCTCGAAGTGTTCTAGGTCCCGAGTCGAGAAGTGCCTGGGGGGCTCTGGCAGCTAGGCACACACGCTATAGCCGCTAGGGGTCAGCTGCTGTGCACAAAGCTCGGGGTCAGTTTTTGTACAGAGATCTGGGTTAACCCTTTTGCCCAGCTTCTTCAAAGTGACCTTTGGAGTGCCCAAGTGACCTGTTACAGGCCTAAGTGACCTCAAACCAGGATATCAAAAGGCCACTTTGAAGAACCAGGGCCACCTTTTGGATTTTAGTGGAGAAGCCAATTCCGAGCTCCTTAAGAAATGGTACCCACTGGATGACCCAGGTAGTAATTCCAGCGATTGGGTTGGGGGTCCTCTTACTTCTTCACTTTTGAAAGATACCCGACATCGCTCTACATATCCGAAAGTTAGGTGAACGAGACGTCAAAAGCTTCTATTAATTATGCTTCTACACTGTCTACCCAAGTCCAGTTCCCTTGCTGGTCACTGGGTGGTGAAGTAGGGATTGCACGGGGACAGCTACGTACCTAGAGTCTAGAGAAGCAACTGGAAGGGTTACATAAGGAAACCTAATGATGAAACCTAAAACTGTGCCCCCGGCCTCCAAATGCCGACTGACCCCAGGTGACGAGAGAGTGATTGGCCAAAACGGCCGCGAAGGCTGAGCGTGAAGCATGGATCTGTTGCACATCATTCAGTAGATGACGGACCAATCTGCAGTCACCTCCCTCGTAGGAATTGCCCCAGGTGACCACAGAACCATCCGCCAAAAGGCCAGCGAAGGCAAAGCCTGAAGCAGTGACTTCTTGAACATTCTTCAGTTGATCTTGAACCTTGCTGCCGTCACCTCCAGTCTCTGCATCACCCCAGGTGATGACAGATCCATCAAGTAAAACCGCAGCGAAGGCCCTGCTTGAAGCTCGGAGTTTCTTCACATCTTTCAGTTGATCTTGCACTTGACTGCTGTCACCTCCAGCATATGGATCACCCCAAGTGACTATGGACTGATTCGCCAGAAGAGCTGCAAATGCGGAGTCTGTGGATTGGATTGTTTGCACATCTGTCAGCTGATCTCGGACCTTGCTACTGTCGCCTCCCAGACCGGGATTACCCCAACTCACCACACTTCCATCGAGCAAAATGCTCGCAAAAGCTCCACGTGAAGCCTGCATATCTTGCACACCCTTCAACACATCACAGACTTTTCCGCTGTCTCCTGAGACCATGGTCTGCTCCCAAAAGAACATGGAAGTCTCCAGTGATTTCGCCTACAAATCTAATTACTTGGATTGATTCGCTTCCAAAAAACATGAAACTCGTAGTGCACATGGATGCACATGGGCGTTATGACCATCCCCTACCACAAGAATTCAACATCCATTGGCCTCCAAATCTGGGGTTGCCCCAGGTCACCACGGACCTATCCTCCAAGCAGGCTGCGAAGGCAGGTCCTGCAGCGCGAATCATTCTGACGCCTTTCAGCTGAGCTTGGACTTGACCTTGGAGGTGCTGAAGGAAGGCAAGAACATCTAATCTTCCCGAGAAGGGCATTCACACAGAAAACTAACATCGCAACCAAACAAAAACTTGTCTAATTATTGTTCTTCAGTAAAGATCAAGTGACTGCAATCCCCCCCACACCTGGGAGAACCCCAAGTAACAACAGAACCATCTGCCAAGCGCGCTGCGAAAGCACCGTCGGAAGCCTGAAGCTCTTGCACATCTCTCAGCTGTTCTCGAATCGACACGCTCATGTCGCCCCCTTCTCGTGCGTTGCCCCAAGCGACAATGGAACCATCTGCCAACACCGCCGCGAAGGCCGAGCGCGATGCCTGAATCTCTCGCACATGCTTCAGCTGGTCTTGCACATCACTGCTGTCACCACCAAAGTTAGGGTGCCCCCAGGTGACGACGCCGGAGCCCGGACACCAAATAGCAAAAGCAGCATGTGTTGCAGCCAGCTTGGGTCTTTGAACTACAGCCGTCACGGTGTCCCCATGTTGAAGCCCTGCATCTTCCAGAGATTTTGCCTCATCCAACAACTTCCCATGCGGCAGTATCAGTTGCAAGAAGGGAGTTCCAAAAAAATCCTTTGCAGCTGCCTTCAGTTCCTTGCAGGCTCAGGATCTTTAAAACAAAAACAAACAAAAACCTTCTCCGTAGATGGTTCGAAGCTCCATCTTCATTTGAGGAACAAGCTCACAACATGGAGTCCTTCAGTTCTCCCTCTTTGACGTCCTGAAGTTGGAGACTCTCTTTTTGTTAAAGAAACACACATCATCATCAGTTCTATGGAGTTGGGTGAAAGGCTGGGTGTCTTTCGTTTGGAGCACAGCACGATTGGGTGGCCGCTGTCACACCCACGGACACAAAAAAGATGGGAGCCCAAAACCATGGAACTGCTGGCACATCAAAAAACTATGATCTAACCAATTCGCAGGGCTCAGACTTGGCCTCTGACCACTGGGACCTCGCATGCAAGCTCCACGTCGTGCCGTGGCCACTGGGCAGCGCCACCCGCAAGCTCCACGGCGCGCCGGGTGGCTCGCGCACGGGCGAGCGCGAGCGAGAGGAGGAGCGTTTGGGCATGGCAAGAAATGGATTATTAAACCAATCTCCTCAGCCAGAAATCTGTGTAAAAAAGGATTGACTGAACTCTCCTCCTGTTCTTGTTGAGCGGAGGGCAGGGCACCCAATTCCCCCCAAACATTTCGGTGACCTGCAGGTGATGTACGTTTCACACACCTGGCTAGGAAACTCCCTCAGAAACTTTCTACCTGGACAGATAGTCACCCCATAGTCACCCCAGACCACATCTGACTCCGCGACCCCCAAAGACCTGAAGAAGTAGTTCGACCCTGAGAGAATCAAATCTCCAGGGATTTGACTCGTTCTCCTGTGGAGAACACACTGTCATCGGACATCGTGTGGGCTCATCCCGCGCGAAAAATGGGCGTCGTTCTGGCAGGACCTCTGAAGAGCTCACTCAAAGAAGCAGGCGGAAGAGCTCACTCAGACCCAAATCACTCCATGCCAGCACCACGGAAGGGGTGGTTATTGGAAGGAAAAGAGATATATAGTCAGGGGTGTCCATCAACCACTCAATGACCGTGGTGCTGGTGTATGGAATATATTACATTGACCGACCCCTTTACAATCCCATACCCAAACACTCCATGGGACTGGCATAGGACTGCCGCCCCATTGACCCCCCCTGGCACCACCCCTGGCCTGATCGGCAGTCCTACGGCAGTCCCATGGAGTGTCTGGGATATGGGTCCAGGATGGTCCAGGTACCTCTGTACTTCAGAATGGTCCGAGGCTTCGACTCATCGTGGCCGCATCGTGGCCGCTGCCGAGCGGAGGGTCCGAGCAAGGCCGGGCGTTGAAGGACCCTGACGAAGGATCCCATAGAGAGGTACCCCAGGTGACGGGTGAGTCCCGAAGCTGATCAGGGGATCACTCATTAAGTTTCCCCCTCTTGTAGGTCGGGACATGACTCATGACTCATGACCCCCAAAAACCTTCTACGACCGGAACGTCGACTCTATAGGGACGGGCCTGGACAACGCGGGTGGTGAAGGAGGGGGGTTACAGAGCGACCCCTGAAAGTTTCACCACCCCGGGGGCACGTGGTTGTCTGGGAGATGATTGGATACCGGATTGCGAGCCCAGTAGAAACTGAAAGATGCCCAGCTCGTCCGCCTCTGTTTTGAACAAGACAAACCTAAATTTTGTGCGGTTGGTGGTCCAACATGGGGGCCATGAGATGGAGACAGTCCAGGTCTTCGACTCTTCGATGAAGTGTGGACAGTGTGAATGATTCACACCTTGTGGATGAAGCAACCCTTGGCGCCACTGGACTCTTCGTCGGCTTCCTCCCAGCATTTGAGCTCTCGGCCGTGGTGGCAAAGACGTGTCTCTGAAGAGTCAAGTGGGCCGAGCAGGCCAGGCTGTACCTCCGTCGGTTCTGGCAAACGACGCCCACCAGTTCTGGCAAAACACACAACACACACATTTTAGAAACCAAAAACCATGTTTTTTGATAGGGAACACCAGGTCGTTGATGGTTTGTGGGGCCCCTCTTCCAGGGTGAAGGAAAGGCTTTCGAAGTGTGAACCAAGTGTCACCTCCAAATCACTGGAAGTGGAGTGTCCATTGAAGTGAAGAGACATATCTCAGACCAATTGCAATGCAGTTAAGTCATCTGTTAAGTCTATATAGCCTATAGTAGCAAGAAGCTACTAGGTGGAGGCCATCGCTATTGGCTTGGAGGCCAGTACTGCTAGTAGCAAGAAGCTACTATACTAGCTAGAAGCTATAAATGCAGTTGAGTCGTGTCGCTGCCGAGTTCAGTGGGGCGGTCGAGCTAGGGCAAACAGCTAGGGCAGCTCCGTCACCGAACTTCAATCAGCTCATCTCCCAAACACTTCATGGACCCACATTGGGGTGGTTGATTTCAGGGGTTGGTCTGTAGCCCAATCGATTCCAAACCAGGACCCGAACACAGGGGTGTCTATAATCACAATATTGCCTCTGAATTGGAGGTGAAGAACGGGGGACTCCAAGAACCACCGGAAGGTACATGCTTACATGCATGCATGTTTTTTAAATACACCTAAGTTACCTAAGGGCCTGAGTGACCTAGGTGAAATGGACCAACCACCCATTTCAGATGGTCTCTTGCTATCGAAACAAAGGTCATGTCCGGGCTCTAGGTATATTCTATATAGTTTATCGAATTACACTGAATTATAGACTTCTTATCTGACGGTGCTTGAAATATGTTGAAATGGGGTTGTTAGGTCTGTGAATGTCTGCGTCACCGTCGTCCCAGACTCGGTGTGATCGGTGTGGACTTGGTGTCACCACTCGGTGTTGGACTCACCGTCGTCACCCCGGATGGTGAGTCCCATGGCCGCCATCCCTGTCACGTAAGACATGGATAGACACGGTCTTCTCTCTGTTGAAATGGTGTGTGATTTCTCAAAGCCGAACAAAGCCATGGCCTTGAGGAAGACAAGATGGCGTACCCTCTGGCCCGTCGTGGGTTATATATAGCACTGAAGACAAGGCACAAATAATGTCACCAATAATTAGTTGCTGTGGTGACGATGTCCCACTATGTTTGTTGATGGCATGGAACGTTGAACAGCAGACAAATCTGGACTACACATCTACACTCCTTGACTCAAACACGGTCACTTCCCCATGCAGAACACACCACTCCCCGTCACGTTCGCCCGAGGACCGGCAACGCCGGTAACCATGCGACTGAGCTCGGCACATGCAGCAGGTCAAGCCGTAAATCAACATCACCTGCAGCAGAAGGTCAACAGGAATCCTTCTTGCGAGTGTACATGGAATTGTTCTGGTCCGTCCTCTTCGTGATCTCCCCTTCCTGCATTTGCCGCAGCGGGAAACCTCGTGCGCCCGGAATCGCCCGGAATGTGGCGCGCCTTGCGCCCATACTGGAAGCGACAGCCCTCGTAGAAGAGCAACGCTCCAGCGACTGGAATGGTGGTCAAGACCTGCCCAAACACGACCACGATCGGCGGCGCCGGAGGCGGACCAGGAGGCGGAATATCCGGGTCCAGGCCGATGTGTGTCGCCGGTGAAGAGGTTTGAGAGGACCAAATCATGGCACCCCCTATAGTATGGGCTCCAAGTACCTCCTCAGAAGGTATTTGGACCCTCTAAACCCACCCCAAACACCTTCTTAGAAGGTACTTGGAGCCCTAGGGCTATAGTAGTATTGGCATTGATATATCATCCTATTTTCCCTGGGCCCAGGTGGATGATGATGGTTCAAGTTGCAGGCCTTTCCATGGATTATTTTACAACATAAGACCTCGATCGTTACCGATGGCTCATCAGCGTTCATTATAGGACACCCCCTTCCAGACACCAAACACGTGGCCACATCTTTGGGAATATTGAGGATAGGCTAGGATGCTCAGTCCATCTCTTTTTGGCAGTTGTTGTTGGTCCCTCTTCGCCCCCTCCGGTGGCTCGTCCCTTTCGTCCAAAAAGAACCGCGCTGGGGCAAAATGGTCTTTCCACGCCTTTCAGGTACCCTATAGGGATCCAGTCGTACCGAACCTCAAATTCGGTAGGACTGGACCCTGAAAGTGGCGGCGTGACGTAGCAGTGGAGACACAAATGTCTCCAATCACCTCCTGAGAAGGTACGACTGGATCCCTAGGGGCAGATCCGAAAAGATCCCCAAAGATCAACTTCGGAAGCTGCCCTTTCGACCGACAATGAACATCTGGGAGAGCGAGATGGATCGGCGGTGACCTACAAAAGTTGAATGTCAGGTCAGTTGTCACCCTGAGTTTTTTTTTTCCGGTAGAGGGATGTTACAAGTGGGATTAATATGCCGAAACTTTGAGGTTCTAACTTCGGCTCAGTCCTTTTTCTGAGAAGATGCTGCTTGGTAGCTGCTTGGTGCTTGTTGGACCAGTTGGTGCTTGGACATGCTTGTCTCCGGAGTCCTTCTGACGGGGTAGAAACGGGTTTCTGCCCTCGACGTCGATGCCGTCAGGTCTTTGATCGTAATACGGTCCCTACTTGAAGGATCACGTGGGATAGTAAGTGCTTACCAACAGAGGTTGAAGGACCCGAACTAGACTATCCCATAGGTACCCCAGGTGACGGGTCCTATTTACGGTCACTTAACCCTCTCAAGTGCTTATCCCAAAGTCGTGAAGTTACTATCCACGGAACCACCACCGTACCTCAGGTTTGGTACGGACCTTCAGTCCGTCCAAGACACTGCCTATACATCAATAGTTAGTCTGCTATTTTCACCACCACCGTACCTCAGGTTTCGCATGCTCCGTGCGCGCGGCTCGGGATTCTGACTGGCATACACCCTTGGCCAGTCAAAGACTCTCAAAAATCAGGGTCTGACTGGCATAGACCCTGGGAGCCAAAGACTCTCAACAATCACGGTCTGACTTTGGCAGGTGTCCTTTACTTCCAGTCAGTCCCAAATATCATCGAACTGGACATCGCTAGGGATCCTTGGGCGTCCACCAAGCCGACACCAAGTCGACGGCTGAATGGGTCAATTGGCGTATCCGGACCCCAAAGGCCCTAGAGCCCTAGGTAGGTGTGGACCTCCTGGCCACCCGAGGTCTGTTCATTTTCTCTGGTCAACCAGGGGTTCCCAGGTGTCATCATCTATTACTTGGTGTTCGGAGTGAGGAGTTGAGTAGCCAGCCTCACAGCGGGAAGACGTCCATGTCTTCACTTGGCAGTAGGATGGTCAACTGGAAAGTAGACCAACTTGGGCTGTCTTCTCTAAACCAACGTGTGAAACAGGTAGTATTACTGTAATACATCTAAAATCCATGTCGCAATCCACCTCACCATCCACTTGCTATCTAAAAGCAACCCCGTACCGCCCTCCGAAACAAGAGGAGTTAACATATCCCTACAGGTCCAGTCCGACCCAGGTCCAAACCTGGTGCTCAACACCTCATTGAGTCGTGTATACATCCACTGGAATTTCAGCTCTCCCAACGCACCAACCAAAACGCGTCCGCATGCCGCATGCCGCATGCCGCGGCCTCGACCGCGCTCCGAAGGTTCGAAACCGACCAGCGCCGGTGCCACATGCTACTCGCTGGTTCGGACGACGAGGGCCGGACGCTCCAGAACTCGCCGATCGCCGCGGAGACCAAATAGTTCGGCTCCGGATGATCCCAGGCCTCAGCGACTCAGCGACCAGCGACGAGACGGCTGGTGGGCGGGATCGCGAGGTGCTGTGAAGTGCCAGGCGGCGAGTGGGGTGCCAGTTTTTTGGGGGGAAAGTCACCCATTTTGGGCCAATAAGATAGGGAAAAGTTATAAAGACTATCTTAAGGTCCTAAGCAAAACTAGGCAAAAGGTGTGAAACATACACACATCTTCCAAACATGCACCATTTCTGCCTTTTGATCGATACAAAAGCAGCGCCAGAAGGCAGAAATTCCGCCTATACCGTATGTTGAAGATCTATATTCCTTATCCCAGGACACTCCATGTATGCATGGATCTGTATGGAATAGACTGAGACTGCATGGTGACCACAACGACCCTCCCTCCAGGGTTGGGTCCTCCCTCAAACAGGTCTGCTGTCGAGTCGGGTGCTGGTTGCCACCCCCCAGGTCGATCGACCCCTAGCTCAACCACCCGAAAACTGATCGGCAAAGATTCCAGACATGGAGTGTCGAGTCTGGGTAGGTTTCTGCTACCAAGAGACCGAACAGATCGGAGAAATTCAAACACATCGCTCAAAAACACACACACACACACACACACACACCAAGAAGAACCTCTATTCCCACACACCTGCAAGTCTGCTTACCATCATGTGGCTATGGGTCAATGAGTCCAAAACGCTGCTTCACCTATTGCAATGAACTATAGTAACTATAAAGTAAAGATATATATAATCCAGGACTGCCAAGTGCTGGAAAGTGATGGAAACTTTAAAGGTTCGCTGAACTGTCCACCTGTTCCATCTGTCATACCAGGGATTTCCCCGCTGTAGCCCTTGACACACAGGTCAATTGAGCTGAAACACGAATTAAGTGAGAAACCACGCCATCAACGAAAACAAGACCATCATCACGGTTCATCGGAAAAGGAAAGCTCGGATCTCCAAGTCACCAAACTCTGCCCACACCCGTTGGCCAGGATGGCGGCATAGCGTCACAGGTCACAAGTTGTCATGCTCACACGCGCACCTTTGGGCAGTGCATGGCCACACTTATGGGCCCAAGTGGCGTCATGCTTGCCAGGCAGAAGTTTCTGGGAAGCACCTGCGAAAACCAATGTACACGCCTTGCGCAATTTTTTAAGCAAGGTTACAGTGGCCGGTGGTATTGACTCCAAGACACCTTGTCTTCGCAAGAAAAGCACTGCAAGTTCAACGCACGCAGTCGACGCATTTGCACAGATCTTCCATCTAAGGCTGCACAGAAAGTGAATCAACGCTTGAAACATCAAGCCATGTCGGAAAGCGCAACTTGAAGGTTTGAGTCTCATCGCCCAGTTCAAGTTCAGCCTTTGTCTCATACGCAGGACGGAGGGGAACCTTATCACTGAGCATTGAGCTGGGCTAAAGCAGGCTGGCGAACAAAGGACTCATGTTGAAGATGTTTGAACATGTTTGAACCATGCAGGATCAAAAGGTAAAGCTGAGCCTGCAAACTCTGTAGCCGCCTCATCAGCAATCCTATTGCAAACAATGTCCAACTTCCAGAAACCTACCTGCCTTGCCACTTCTGCAGTGATAGATAGCTGCGGTATGTCATCGCACGTGTGTGCCCTCATCCACGACATCCGTATCCGCTCTGCACAGTGCTCTGCACGGTGCAAGCCACAAGCCCTAGGGATCCAGTCGTACCTTCTCAGAAGGCACCTGGACCCTCCTAACCCACCCCAAACACCTTCTGAGAAGGTACTTGGATCCCTAGGGAAGTGAAAGAGATGCGCCCACCACTGGGCACCATGTGGAGTCGACGCGGCCTTTTGTACACTGCTGAAACAGTTGCACCACAGCAAGTGAATCCGTCGTAATGTGCACAGGACCTGGGCTGAGTGCAACAGCTTTGAGAATTGCGTACAGTCCCGTTGCATACGAAGTTAAGTTGATATGATTAACGCTTCCTACATAGATGCAAGTACCTGTAGCATCAACAATTGCACAAGCCCCTGTGGTAAACAGAGCCATCCGTCCACAACTCAGAGCACTCAAGGGCAGGATTGAAAAACATAACTTCGCTTGGGGTCCAGGGTTGCCAATTTAAGCCAAAATTACACAGAGTTCTTGGGTCCAGAGTGCAGACTTCTCGATTCCCCACCAAAAACCTTCGACAATCCCTGGAACATCGTGGAACCGAGGGCTCCACGTGGAGACACGTACGGGCTGTCACCTTCTTTGAAGCGGAGCTTCTTCACTTGGGCAGACTTGCCACGTTCGCCGAGATGAGAACCTGAAGAGGAGAACCTCAGACCCTTCTTCTTCAGTCCTTTGCCTTGGCCCTGGCCTCCGGGAGCCCCCGGCAGAGGGCAACGTCCCCCAGAAGTTCGACGCGTCCGGCGCTGCCTGGGAGGACGGTCGTGTGACCGGTCGACCCGAACGGTCGTGTGCCGAAACGAAAGAGAGAGGCACGGAGCCTGAAGGAACAGGCTTCAGGTTCGATTCGAGGAATACATGACGTCTGTTGCATAGCGCCGGCACTCTGAACACAAAGAGAAGGGACATGGTCTCGTCACATGGAGGGCCTGGGTGGTGTGGCTCGTCCCATCCGGTGAGATGTGACAGGGGCCCCGAAGAACGTGACTGCTGGTGATAAGTGATTCTCGGTGTTTTCTCGGTCGCTGCAAATCCTCGTGGAGCTGTTTCTGAACTCAACCACGGACCTCCTTGCGCGACTACCGTGCTTTGGGCTGCCAAGAAGTCCGTTCCAGTGGGCCACCAGCAAAGTAAAGGAAAATCCTATAAGGACCAGCCCTCAAAACCATGAAACATAGAGGTTTTCACATACCGAAACCAGTAACTATTTTTGTTCGGGAAAACCAAGGTGTTTGTGGGGCCTTGTGGGGTCCCTGTGGGAGTGCCAAGCTTGGAGGAGAGCCGTGCCCAATATCCACTCACTTAACTAGTAAGGGGTTGGGGAACTCCTTGTAGCTCCTCGGCTCCCTGTTAAATGGGGAATATGGATGCCCCTGGCTCCTTAGCTCCCTCCTGAGCAAAAGCTAGCTAGACCAACCCTTCGTGATCACTTCAAGACGTTCGCATCATCCGTTCGCGGTGCGGCTGCGTAGTCCCCACTCATTCGTGGCATCTCCCCAATCCCAAAGTCACTTTGCGGTGAAGTCGTCATTCCCCCAAAAAACAACAGAGTTTATATCCACTTTAAAGGTAATACCAAACCGTCCAGCCAGTTCAGCGTGGTGTCTCCCCAATCCTAACAGTCATGTTACCTGGTGTTTTTGGGGGGATCACGTTCCGAAGCGACTGACTGGCTTGTACCTACAGGTTCCTCACCCCACGCAGTCTCCCTGCGGCGAGGCGCTGTGAGGTGGAGAGCCAGCAGGGCCAAGCACCACAGCGTTACCAGGGTCCCAACCACCTGGACCACCTGGCAGCGGCGCAGGCACGGATGGTACGGCTGGGGTATAGGAAAGTGCCCGGCCGTGGGGTCGGATGGTCCATGAAGCACTCCGAGGGGTCTTGGTACACTGGACCTCAGTGGACTGGAGTTGGATCATAGCCAAAACGCCACGGAAGGACAAAGGAGACTGGAGCTGGGGTTGGACTGGACCAGGTTCCACAGAGAGAGAGGGAGAACAACCCCCAGGAGAGATTCTTTCCACCATCCTCCAGCAATTCATTTTTGTGTTGATATCATGTTTTCAAGGTTGTGTAAGTTGTGTAACATGAGGTCCACTCTTATAAGGTGAGGCTCCTCAATTCGGGTCATTGCACAAATGAACCCCTTCTGGGTAGAGAACCTGAGTCGTTGATTTTGCCAGAAACACCACACGACCCCCCAAATAGGCAGATCATCGGACTGGTCTGTGGTCTGTGGATGTGGTCGAAAAGGGGTCATATAGGCATACACTCCTGAGGAAAAACTCACATAGACCTGAGAATGGCACCCTGAAAAGACTCTCTTCCTCAACTCAACGCAGTGGTTTTCACCCAGGGGATCTAATCCGCAACGACACAGGATCGTCTTCCGAATCCAGTTTCATGTGTGGAAAGGATGCTGTCACACCCTAGGGATCCAGTCGTACCTTCTCAGAAGGTGATTGGAGGTGCTGTTATGTAGGTTTGGAGGGTCCAAGTACCTTGTGAGAAGGGCTTTTCGACCATCTCACATCAGCGGTTTCACCGTGTGTCCCCAACCAAACGCCCCCAGAAGCCTCGCCTCGCGAGCCTCCAGGGGCGCCGTCGCCATCGCGTCGCGGCGGGCCGTGTCGGGATCACGGATGCAGGAGTCGAAGTTACAACATGATCTTCATGCATGATTTTTATCTGCTGGACAAAACACATGGTACACTTACCACCGCGGTCAAAAAGAACATCGCGTCTCTGAATTAGAGAATGTGTCGTGTTTTTCCTTCCAAGTTCAGGGTCATGCAGTCGCTTTCCTGCGGGACGTCTTCGAATCTCCAGTGGTCTGGAGGCGTCATAGGCAGCTTCATGCATTTCCGCGTGTCATCGGGCCAAGTGGCTGCGCCATGGTGCAAAAGCTGCGGTGGGAGTGGCTGCGCCAGGTCATCTGGATGGGATCATGGCTTGAGTAACATGAACTCCCGCAACTTTCTGAGAGATCTTAATTACAGGATATTTGAGGTTCCATTTATGCGTCTTTCTCTTTGCGTTAATTGGCTATGGGTTCGTAGTAACCAGAAGGCAACACGCTCCCAATACACCATGATCACGGACCCATGACGCACCTGTTCTACCCGGAACCGCGACGGCGCCGGTGTCTGCCGACGTAAGCAGCCGATGAGAAGAACTAGTTCTGTAAGGAAACACATCCCAGCCAGTCACGTGGAAGACCGGGGTGCGATCCATGGAGGTAGGAGTTGGGTGCCCGGTCACGTCACATCCACTCACGTAAGCCAGGGGACGAGTCACACCACCCAGGCCCTCCATCATGTGACTCCTGGAGGAGTCACAGAGCTTCGGGCGCCGAAAGGAGGATCAGAGCTCTGTCATCCACTCAGGGACTCCAGCCAGCCACCCCGTCTGAAGGAAACGCAGGGTCAGAGATCCACTCTGCCGACGTGCCCGTTGGAAGGTTGGATCTCAGTCGTCCGACCCCAGGCGGATGTGACAGTGATGTTGTGGGCGGCCAATCGGTTCCCTTCATTCCACGACATGAGAACTTACTGGTGTTGAGTGGCCTGCACCCAATTCGCCGCCCCCCCTCAGGTTCGGTGACCTCTAAGTTGGGACGCGGGACGCGCGGTCTGTTTCAGCTGTGAGCGGACGTCGAACCAAAGCTCCTGGCGCCAAAGTGGACATTCCTTGACATTCGACCTCATACCGCGGGGCTTATACGTATAGACAGAGAAACAGACAATTAGATAGATAGACGAGCCGAAAGAAAGAAAGAAAGACAGACAGACAGACAGAAAGAAAGAAAAGACAGAACAAAAGATCGATAGATAGGACTAGATTAGATTAAGGTTAAGATTCAGAATAGAATAGGTACCTGAGAATTCATACCTTAAGGGTCTGGGAATTCTGTGTTTTTCCCAAAAGCATCTCCGATGCTTGGGTTCTCGTTTAGTCGCTGGTGCCGGGGGAGAGCGAGGAAAGGAGCGAGACGGGAGGCGCGTGGGTGGGGACGAGACTGGGCAGGGAAGATGGAGGGGAGCGAGACGGTAGCTGGCGAGGGAAAATGGAGGGCAGCGAGACGGGAGCCCGCAAGCATCACAAGCATCATTGCAGGCTGCTCTGGGGCAGTGCAAAAGTAGAACGAAGCATGGGTGGGGGTAGTGCTGCTCCATGCTTCGCGGAGGCACGTGGGGAGGTGAATGGAGCGGTGTTGCGGGGCTGAGGTATGGTCTTGGGTGTCCAAAATGTGCAGAATGCACGCGGCAGACATGGTTGCGTTGAGCACATGGTCGTACCACAAGCATCAGTGCAGGCTGCTCTGGGGCAGTGCACAAGTAGAGCGAAGCATGGGTGGGGGTAGTGCTGGTCCAGCTTCGCGGAGGGACGTTGGGAGGTGAATGGAGCGGTGTTGCGGGGCTTAGGTATGGTCTTGGGTGTTAAAATGTGCACAATGCCTGCGACAGGCAATGTTGCGTTGAGCACATGGTCGCATCACAAGCATCATGGTAGGCCGCTCAGGGTCAGTGCGCAAGTAGAACGAAGCGTGGGTGGGGGTAGTGCTGGTCCATGCTTCGCGGACGTGTGTCTGGTCTGGTTTTAGCAGGTGGCTAGAGTCGCTTGTGCATTTTCATGCTGTTTTTAAAACTATTTTGTTGAATGCTAAAATGGGCAGAAAATGGTCAGAAAAAATTGAACTTTCAAGACCGGACCAGAGTTTGAAACATTTAAATGTCAAAGTTTGCAGAAAAGTAATGAGAAGTTCATTTTGCGAGCAGCCCCTCCCCGCTGCTCACGGTGATGCCCTCCTTCCAGCTAAGTTGGCATCTCCCTTTTTAAATTGGAGGCAGCGCAGCTACTCCTGCCACCCAGTAGGTGTAAGGAGGCCACAGGCTTCCCCAATTTTGCCAAACCCAGTTTGAATGGAAAAATTGCATCCTGCGCAGAATGACTTGTTACCATGAAAGGGCCCAAGTCCAAATGTTGGTTGGAAGAGGCTGTACAAACGAGATGTTTAAATTCACTGCGTGGACGCCCACATGACGAAAACCATGGCTTGCCGCATGCAACATGAAAAACACGTTATCATCGCTTGCGCCCAGGCTCCTCATTACCTACTATATTATTTCCTCATCCAGATTGCGCAACATGCAGACATGCTTGGATGGTGCCTTGGGGGCCAGCACCGTCGGCTTGTTTTGCTGTAGTAGCCGCCGTGACTGGCGCAAACTGGGCAAACATCATTCCCTCGTCCTCTAGACAATTACCACTCAAACCAGCAAAAAAGTCTTTAATTAAGGATATAGTAATAAGAAGCTATGTGGTGGAAAAAGTCTACTTAAATTAGGGGTCTGGTGTTAAACTTCCCGACAAGTGACCACATCGTATCTACAGTTCTCAAATGTAATAATGTTCACAGGCAACTTCAAGAAGCGACTCAGTTCAGATGAACTAGCTTTTTGTAACTTTGTTCCGATGTACAAACCTTAGCCAATTATTTTCATACAACGTGGGAAGGGCTAATTGTTCCCCTTGCTTTGAACATGGTGGGCTACCGCTGATTTGCAGGCTTCCATTGAAAACCCCTGGCGAGGCGACCAATATATTCAATTTAGATAATATATATTTATACATCCAGTGAGGAGTCGTTGATTGTTGCGGCGTAGTAGCCACTCTGCATGCAGCACCACTTTGGATGCTTGGATGCTTGGATGTCCGAGATCGTCAGGCCCGAGCCCCACTTTAAGCAAACCGCGTCAGGACCACCAGCCTCAAGGGCAGCGAGGACGTCGCCGGCCCAATCAACGGTCGTGGAGTATTCAACACCAGGCTGGCGCGACCGACAAAAGTTCATGGTCATCATCTTCATCATCACGCTTTAACAATCTACTGACTTTTTTCGCCAAATGTGCCTGAATGAGCCAAATTGACAATGATGGAAAACCCAAAAATATCTGAACGGATGTTTGAAAATTTCGGCTTGGTGTGTGTGCAGCGGTGGCACTCACCAACAAGCTTTCAGTGCCTCCCATATCCCTGCCAGGCTGGTTTAACCTGTGAGGGCTCGGCCATCCCTGCCTCATCCCTGCCAGGCTCACCTGTGAGGGCTCGACCCTTCTTGGCTCAGTCCCTGCCAGGCTCACCTGTGAGTGCTACTACGCATTCAATTATTACTACCCCGTGCGGGCAGCCAGGAGGTTACCAATCTCCTGCGAACGTCACGTGACAACGGCAAATAACTCTTTTTTCAAGAATGCAGACCAAATACTCAATCTGTCCTACACTGTCTTTTAAATTAAGACAGTCGGCAATCATTGTCATCACCAGTGCCAGGCCCGCCACAACCAGGACCATTCTCAGGCTCAGGGGGTGGGCCTCCGCCCGGGCCCCACTTTCCCCATGCACCGCTCATCATCCTGGTCCGCGTCAATCACGCCCTCATCTGAGGTCTTTTTAGCACCCTTCTTAGCTCCAGGTGCAGCTGGAGCGGGCCCAGGCGGAGGAGCAATGGGGGTGGGGTTAGTCCACCAACCCCTGTAGTTTCTCTTTCTGGCACTTCTCTTCGCTGAAGGCGACAACTTTGACCACAAACGCTGGGCTTCCGAGTCTGATAGCCCCTCCAAGTGCCAGAGTGACAATGGGCCATCGGGACCGGGAGTCTTCATCAGCAACTTCCTCGTGTGGTCGTTTGCGAGATGGTCCTCCAGATTCACCTGGAGTTGGCACCATGATTCTCCGACTCCAACTCCCATCATCCCAAGTGGTTGTGGGATGCCCGGCATCATTGTCATAGCTCCCACTCCGCCCATCGTCGGTGGGAAGTAAGGGCCCATTGTCAGAGGCAGCACAGCAGGCGGCATTGACGACGATGACGACCATGATGGCAATTCCAGTTGAATAGGGGCTGCAGGAGCAGGAGAAGGCAGCTGACCTTGACGCTGCAGCTGCCGCATCACGCCCACGATGACCCGCACCAAACGCTCAGTGTCCATCTCTTGGACAGCGCCAGCCCGGTCAGAGTTAATTTTGGTGCCAGCAGCTGTGAGAGAGACTGTTCCCAAAAGACAATTCAATGCTTCCACGCCAATTCTTTAAACTCCGCCGCCCATTTAATTGCTGAAAGCCATGTTTCAAGCAAACAAGTTGGAGGGAAGTTCGACGGAGAAGACGAGTGGCTCTTCTATTTTGAATGAAAAATGACCAAGCCTGTCCAGAGAAATTAGTAGTGATAGTAAGTGAACAGGCATATGTATGTAAAACAAATTGCAAACGATTTTTGCCTAAGAAATTTTCTTAATTTTTTCCTTTTACTATATAATTGCATTTAAGACAGCATCTAAAGAAGTTTGTGCCCCAAAAAATCAAACTTGTCTGACCAGACTACCCAGCTACTCACCCATCTTAACATTTCAAGAAATAGATTAAAAAACAACATGAAAATGCACAAGTGACCCTAGCCACCTGCTAAAACCGGACCAGGTGTTGGGTGGTGAGTGGAGCTGTGCTGCGGGGCTGATACGATGGGGTTGGGCGTCCAAAATGCGCACAGTACATGCGCCAGACAGTCAAGGCATGGCCGACACGGGAGGAGCGTTATGTGCCACAAGCGCA